AATATTTATAAAAGACAACTAGACAAAAAAATTTTGGTTTAAAACTTTGTCCATAGACAGCTTTCGAAGACAATAGAGTCACTTGAGAATTTCAATCAAAAAAAGTAGTCGCTTCTCGAGATATAAAATTAACAAAAAAAAAAAAACCAGACTTTCGTTTTTTTTTGATGTCGTATCATTGTTTTTGGGAATTTGATATCTTGAGAAAAAATTACGCTTCCTGGCTGAAGCTTTTAAAAGATTCTGATGACTTCAAGAGCTATTTATGAACAAATTTTAAAGACGAAATTCATTTATTCGGTATTTTTATAAATATTCGCTAAAAGTAGAAAAAAGAAACCTAGTGTAACGATCATAACTTTACAAGGACAGTGCGCAGCGACGTATCTTTTTAGGTTTTTTCTAGTCTCAACAGGTTCTACGTGATGACGGAAGTTTCATCTCAAATGCAAGGATCATCTCTGTCAGTTCGTTTGTAAAAGAACTCTATTAAAAAAATATCAATACAGTTTTAATAAATGCTTTCAATTGATCAGCTAATGTTGCGAATAACTTTTGTCGTTGTCTTCGCTTTAATTATCTTGAGCTTTTAGTCCATGAATGTTTTCTGACTGTCCATTCTCGATATAGAAAATACGAACATTCAATGAATACTTTGCGAAAAAAAAACTCGTCAAGGGCTTCATAAAAAGTAGAACGAAGCCTAGCATTATTAGTTTATCATAATTTTGTCAACGTTATTGATGATAATAATAATACCAGTTTTTCAGTTCTTTGAAGCATAATTCTTATAATAATAATAATAGTTATTTTATCATTAAATGCTTAGTATTATAAATGATATTATTAATTGATACGTTTGCTAATAAACTCATTGTAAACTAAAAAAGTAAAGTGACATAAATTTGAATGTCATGACATTTCGCGTTTTGCTTTATTATCATTTAAAATAGAAAAAACAACTAAGATTTTTAAATTCTTCATTATTATTTTTCATTATCAAAAACAAAAGAAAATTATCTCTTAGATGAGATCAGAGATTAAGAAAGAACGAGCAAATTGTATCCATTATAATATGAAGACATTGGTATAATACCAACTGAGTAAAAAACAAAATTATAAAAATTGACGTATGTCATCGAGAATAGAAAATTTGCTCATTGGTTAGAGCGGCATTCCTATAAAACAACCATCTGTCATGGAAATCGGGTAAACTAAAGAAAGCTATTGGAAAATATCAATGAATCATTCAGCGAGAATGTTTGTTTGCCTTTGAGTCTTGGTAAAGTATCAATAAACAATCAATGATTTATCTAATTTTTATATCAACCGGAAAATTTTTGCCGTACTTTTCAGTTTGCTTTAGGGCACACTTGATAGATTCTATTTCTCAGCATGTGATTTATGAATAAGAAAAACATTGAGTAAATATGGTATTTTCTAAAATATAGAAATTTGAAGAAAAGGTTTTTAGCATTAAGTGAACATCTTATTTTTTTTTGTTTATGTCATGAATATTTTCTATTGGTGAATAAGATAATAAATTTCTTTTTTTTCTACGTAACAGAATATACTATTTCTTTTTCTTTGTTTTTTTTTTTCTAAAGAATTAACTAATTCTTAATTGTTTATAATAATAAAAACAAAAGCTTTAACAAAAGATTCTATTAAGATATTAAAAGTATTAAAATAAAAAAAGAAGAGACGAACTTTCATTAATAAATAATATTTATTATGGTTTTTGATAAAACCCATTCTTTTGAATTTCTTAGCGAAGACTTATTCTTAAATCCCTTTAAACAAAAAAAAAATGTTTTCTTTATTTATATAATTCTATACGTGGATCAATAAAAGACGCTTGAAAAATTTACATATGTTAATAATTTACATGATTCTCTTTCAAATATTAATCATATATTTTCCAAATCAGTGAATTGCCTATCTTTTATCTTAATAAAAATATTCCCTATTGAATTTCTAATAAGATTCATTACAATAAACCTTTTACCCTCTGGCACTCATTCAATAGATTGGGTGTTAAGTTAACCTTGAAAATAGATTAGACAAGTGGTAATTATGACAGCAGTATAATTAAATCTCTTGACAAAGTTATTTCATTGTGCAGATGTAGATTGGATCAAATATGACACACTACATGTTGAATGACATAAAAATTGAATTTATTGTTATTGATTCTTTTATGGCTTATGGCACTTATGTTGTTATTTTATTTGTATAAAGCTGTAAGCGAACATATTGTGGGTTATTTTTGGATATATGATTCATTTGGTGCAATAATATATGAATAGATATCAGATAGAGAGATAATATATGCAGATTGAAATTAGGTCATTCATTTTCACGATCGTGTCTTTACTTTCTTTTTATAATATAGAATCATTGATTCTGATTCCAAATCAGTTATTTCTATTGATAAGTACTTGTCCAGAAGGAAGATTATAATAAAGGCTTATATATTATTGATAAAAGATTATTTAGAAACATCCATGTAATAAATTTTTGATCGACTATTAGTTCTAATAAAGTTTCAAACATGAAAATCGTGTTATTTTATGAGTTTATATTAAAAACAAAATAAATCTAGAAAAATCATTTCTTATTTTACTTACTATGAATGAGTTAAAAATGCTCCGAGATGTCATGAAACATGTTGTTGTCACACCTGTAATTAAATGTTTTCTAAAAACCATGCTGCAAATTCATCACATCCATAGTAGTGCAGTAAAGTCTTCAGCCAAGCTGAACTTTATCAAATGAAGTAAAAGGATGAAAATTTTTTTAATATATAAAAACGTAATAATAAGTTTTGATCATTAACATCATATAAAATTAACATGACTTTCCATAACTACAGAAATTGGATTGTTCATACTATCTACAAGCTGGTTGACTAAGTTCGATGCTAAAAACTCTTCATTCGTGCCTTGTTGCCGAAATGTAAGATTGATAAATAATCAGGTTTTTCATGCTTAACTTTATTCTGATGAGGTGTCTAATATTGTCAATGAGTACAAGATCGGATGACATCGGTGGTCAATCAATTTTTTGAACTCGATTATTGATTTTCTAATTAATTGAAGTTTCGATGTTTATTAGAGGATGCTGTCTGATTGCAGTTTTCACAGTGGCAAATTGGTACCGTATTGTTTCCGTACTGTTAGCAAAAGGCTGCACTTGCAAATATCATGCAGTAATCTCGTGTATGGATTCTGCTTAAAAAAGCTGTTAGCGCAATTCCTTGCGGGATTAAAAATGTGAAACACGATGGATCTATTGTTACTAATTAAACGGAAATCGTTTTGTTCTATTTCTTTGCGATACATTTATAGCTAACCGTTTATCTGATGCTTTAGAACTACAGTTTCTCTGTCACGGTCTGTGATAGATACGAAGATTCTCTGTCAGTCTGTGGAGGGAAGGGAGTGGGTGCAAAATTTCTACCCTATACACTTCAACACTCCTTTCAGATCGTGTTTCACAATAGACAACATGACTGAAGCCATGACTATGATAGGATATTCGACTGTTTGTACTATCGTGTTTTTTTTCTTGGCAAGTTTCAAACTAAGCCATTGACAAAATTCAGTCGAATGATGGTCTTATCAGAAAAGATCACTTGATTTCAGTTTGTCGGTTTATGATCTTGAGCTCATTTTAAATGATTTGCTCGATGACGGTCTATAAGCCATAGCTTCGAAAAGGTCGATTGTATTTTACTCCTACTTCGTTTAAGCGTCGTGTATGTTCTGTTAGCGAAACAATTTGTTGACTCTGTTTTGAGTTTATTAAACGTGGTCGATTTGATCGAGTTGAATCTGCCAAGTCATTTCACTGTTTTCATCATCATTATCCCACAATACATTGCTTTTGTCACATGTTGCTGATTTATACTAATCTTACGGAAAGTTTTACTAGGGCGAAGAATTTTGTCTACTGCTGTTTGCATTAACTTCAACAGTATTAAAATGATCAGTCAGTGTAAGTAAATAAAAAAAAAACTAGATTATTTTACTTTTTTGAAAACATACTTTTTTCCAACTCATATTTCATAGCCAAGTAATTATGAAAAGAAGTTTCATTTTTTTGAGTTTTGTAACTTATTGAAGTCTTTACATGATGTTCGAGAACAGCTTCGATCCGATGGTTTATTACTCCAAATACATAGATTTCATGAATGGGTCAAAAATGACTCAACAGGGAGATAAATGGTTAATAAACAACACTTTGATTTCGAAAAAAAACTTCTAAATAACATTTACATTTAGAGTAACTAAATGTAATTCTTCTATTTAATCTTTAGACATAAAGAAAGTATTGAAAAAAAACGTTTATTATATTTTACAAAGTGTTTATCATCATCTGATACTTCTTTTTCTTGTCCAAAATATAAATATAATCTTAAGTAAGACAAAGCAATTACAGTTGTAGCTTTTCTGATGAGAAAATTATAGTCATTCTATTTTGAAAGTGAAATGATGTTTCATTTGAAGTATTATATTGATACATAAAACTGAAGATCAGTTTAAAATATAGTTAAATTTGTTATATATATATATATCGCTCTCTCTCTCTCTCTCACTCGCTTTCTTAACGAAACTGATTTATCATTATTGAAAAAAAGATTATTAAAAGTTTCGAAATTAGTAAAGTCATTATTATCAATCTCAATCTTTCTGATATTACTCGATTACAATTATCAGTAATCTCTGCTCGTTATTCGTAAAATTGCATGCAAAAAAACGCCGCTTTTGTTTGTTTCATACACTAAAAGCTAGAAGTGATTTGAGACAGATGATTTCCTAAGGAATCACCCATTGATCAAAGGTTTACGTTCAAATAGTATACTGACGAAGACATACACCCACGCACGCACACACACACACACATAAAAGAAAGTGAGAACGAATACATATTCGAAAAAAGAAGAGGAAAGAAAAAGTAAAACAAGAAAAAAAAACGTGTTTTAAATAACAAGAAAATCAAGTTGAAGGAAGATTTGTTGATGAAGGTGGTTGTGGTGGTGGTGGTAGTGAGGTAGTCGATAAAGGCGGTTGTTGTGCAAACGATGAAGGAAGCGATGATACAAAAGCCATTGGTATCGATTGACTAGACGTTATAGACGATGAAGGTATCGAAGCTGTACTCGTTATGGTTGTTGTAGGATTGTATGGATCATTAGCAGATGATAAACCAGGATATAATGGTATATATTGAGCATAGATTTCACTAGGTACATGCTGACGAAGAAATGTATTTTCATGTTCAACACTATTCACTTTATCAGTAAGTGTTCGAATTTGTTGACGTAGTTCGGTTACTTCTTCACGAACAGCAGATAACAAATGCATTTTAACAAGATCCTGAAAATCAAATCAAATCGAATATTCATTTTCAATCAGTCTTGCCAAAATCATTATTTTTTTTTGTAACATAACACAGTATGATATGAAATAACTGTGAGATGATTTCATAATTTTCTAATTTTATATAATTATTTCTCATTCAACATGATTTGAATAAATTAAATTCGTCCGGAAATGATTATTGGTATTTTGAATTCTGATCACTATATAATAATGTGTTCTTGAAAGGTTCTTTTTTTTGTCCTGAATTGTTTTTTTCATACATGTTTGATAATAATCTCTGGATGCGATGTCCCCACGAGGGATATTGTCACAATTGATTGATTACTTTTCAATCGAGATTAAGTGTATCATGTAAACTCTCATGAACTATAAATACTCTAAGAAGAGTTCAAACACTTACAAAAGAACTACTCGAACTGACCCTCGCTGTTTGAGCTCATATTAAGTTCACAAAGAGGTCTCAATAAGACTTTAGAAAATTCTAAAAAGATTTTTATGGAGTTTTTAATATGAAATTTTGGTCATAGATAGACCTGATGATGCTTGGAATGCCCTGAAAGTTTCAGAATATTCCCAGACCCATCAGCCCTGTCTATGTATAAAACTTCAGGTTGATATTCAGTTATTTGGTTTTCCAGTAAATACCTACAGCTGAATCAAACATTTAGTCAAATGGTCATAACTTGAATCCAGAGACCTATGAACACAAATCTCTTAGGATTTCTCTAGTTTTACCAAGGTCTTTTTATGAATATGATATGAACGTAAATGGTGAGTATCAAGTCAGGTAGTTCGATTGTTAGCTTATTACTGTAGAGATATTGCATTTTTCATGTCAATGCTGTAGTCCCTCTGAAGAACAACAGGAAAAACAAATATTCGAGTTTCTATTTGAAACTTTCCATAAAGACAGATCTTAATAAGAATAGTCTATTGTGAAAATTTTAAATCTTTTCATTGTTTCTATCCTAAGAGACAGCATTGGTGAAAGCATTTGTTTTACATCGTTCAAAGACACACTGATAGATGCGATATTCTTATTTTAGGATAGGAGTAAATTAAATTTAGCTGAAATTTCCACAATAAACTGCTCTCATTCTGATCTGTCTCTGTAGAAAATGTCGAATCAAGATTCGAAAAGAAATTTTCTTAGTGTTTTTTTTAGAGAAACCATGACATTCACTTGAAAAATACTGTTAAAATGTAGTACCTCCACAACAATAAGCTAAAGACTTGAGCTCTTTTCAGATTGTTCATATCTCATTATGGTTTACATGGCACACATAATTCTGAGTCCAAAATGATTAATCAGTTAGATGACTTCTTTCGTTAATATTCTTCTCTATTTCGAGTATATACAACCAATATTTCATATGTTCTATAAATGAAAATCTATTCTATGAAATATTACTTACCATGGCTGCTGAAATTTTGTTGTCAATATCCGTTGTACTAAAATAAATAGAATGGAAAAAAATCAATAAATGCACCCTCCCACTAGAAAGCATATATCATGCTGATATAGATTAATTTGAGCAAGAGAAGAAAAGCCAAAAATAAGAATTTTTGAGCATGAATAATAATTGAAAATTTTCTTTTTTTTTTTAATCGTTTATTTGATTTTCTTTTCTTGAGCATAGTTTTTAGCCATGATAAGAAAAAGACATAAGCGTGAGTATCATTCGATCGATTAATACGGAATCATTTCTGTATATTTCTTTTATCTGATGTGTATGTGCTTTTTTTTTTTATTCAAGTATATTAATGCATATGCAATGTAATATAAATATGCTTATCTTGTTTTGAATACCTGCGCTGTCGCCTATTTCTTAAACGCACTCGTCTCTCTGATAAACTGAAGCTTGAAAATTGGCGAAAGCAGGAAAAAGAATAACAAAAACAATGAAATAAACAATGATTTTTTTAACTTACTTATTTTGTTTTGTTGGTGTTGTTAGTTCTTTAAGAATCTCGTTAGCTATTTCTGTATTTTGACCACTTTCACTATTTAATAAGCCCATTGCAGCAGCAGCTGTAACAACTGCAGTTTGTGCAGCTGTTTGCGTTAAATTTAATGATGGACCAGCTGTTCCATATGGCCATATGTCATTTAATGAAGCTGTCGGTGCTTTATTTGGACTAGTCATATTACTTGGATTATTTGTTTGTATTGTTATAGGAGACATAAGTGTTCGTGATGGTTGTTGAATATGTGATAATGAAGGTGATGTTGATAATAAATCAGTAATATATGTAGGATTTGTTGCTGTTGTTGTTTTTAGTGTATCAGTATTAGCATTATTGCTTATTATTGTAACAGGTTTTGTTTGAGCTATTGCATTAGTACCATTTGTTTGTGTTGTTAAAAGTTTTGTTGGTACTGATGTTGTTGTTGTCGTTGCTTTCGGTATAATTGGTGGTTGTAGAGAAGTTTTTGTTGCTGCTGTATCTTGTTTAGGTGAAGTAAGAATTGGTGCTTGTTGTGGTTGTTGTTGTGTAGATGGTACTTGATGAGAGTGTATTTGTTGTTGTTGTTGTTGTTGTATGTCAGTAATATTGTTTGGAATAACTTGGGCGAGTGATGTTGGCCGTGCTGTTGGTGGAATAATTGTTGATGGCTGTGCAGCAGAATGATAAGTTGGCATAGTTGCATAAGGAGAAGCAGTAGTTAATGGTGCTTGTGAAACATATGTTGAATGAGGATGTTGAGGAGCATATATAAATGGTGCAGTCGATGCTGCAGCTATTTGAGCATTTTGTAAGTGATCAGTAGTCGGATTCGGATATAGATTAGAAGGGATCACTGGATTTTCACTAGTTCCATCTGGAACTAAACGAAAGAATAAAAATCAAACCATTTTATAATATAGATTTTAAAAGACTAATATACAGTAGGTACTAAAATAAGATTTATTTTCAATTTTTATTTTTCTACAAACATAATCAATAGAAAGAATTTGAATAGAACAAATGATTTTCAACAAGGATATAAGGAAATCAAAATCATTATCAGATTTTAAAAAATATGGACTCCGAAAAATCATAATGTTTTCAATATGATTTTTATTTCAACTATATAGCATGAAAGAGTAAACAATTCTCTACAAAATCAAACATCCATGAGTTCTTTACAACGTTTTGTAGTTGAGATACAACAATTTGATTAAAGATGAAACAATGACTTTTCTATAAGAAGTAAAGAGAATAGCTCCTAAAAACTGGGAAATGAAATTTTCTTGTTTTTTTTCGAAGATAGCGACACATTTTAAAGATACCATTCTAAGTTGATTCGATAGAGAATTTTTTGATTTACAAAACTATTGAATTTGTTCTTTTACTAAGTTTCTTTTGTCATAGAAAAAGTGAAAAGATTGATGAAATAATTCTTAAAACTATCTTTAAATCACAATTCTGTCGAAATTTGAATTATGCTGCAAGATACATCGTGAAATATTACATCTCGCAATGTTGCACAATACCATAAAAAGTCATTTAGAAAACGACATAAAAGATTCTTTAGGGAAGTTAAATTTAACAGATCTTTGTTATCCGGTGTAAATGTTACATCATTTTGTCTAGAATGAAATTGACCATCAGATAATAAAACATTAAACCATTCCTAGAACACGTCAATTTTTTGAAAACAAAAGACTACCAGAGGTTCATTAGAAACTTTTTCTACTTGAATGACATCATTAGAAGGCTTGAAAATATGAACTTCGCTATCTATGAATGCTAAATGCTTTATATTTAATATCGAACCTGTTGAACATAATTTTGCGTAAAACATGAAATGTGTGCAAAAAATAGTAAGAGATCGTGTTGAATAATGAAGGAGAAGTTAATTTTTCGTCGTCAAGAATAATTTATTAAAAAAAGCCGAAGTTCACATTATTTGTTGGCGATCCATTAGTATAAAACAGACGACTTCTAAGATTTTAGTGAGATTACTATATCTCAGATAAAAAAGAAACGCTTCAGAGAGCTTGTCAACATCTCATTTTGCAGACAATTATTTACTTTATCGTTCTATGTCATCGCCTAAATGAAACAATATTTACATGCTCTAGGTAATGAAAAACTAGGCTTTTTGGAAATCTTCATTTTGTCTTATATCCTTGTTGGAAATCATTTTATCTAGTCAAAATCTTTCTAATGCTTACGACAATGAAAAAAAAAATCATATTTAATAATTTTTTTTGTTTTTGTTATCTCTGCTAATAAAACGTTTCAATATACCTGTTTCCGGAAGTCTTAAAGGTTCACCGAGATTTCCAGTTGGTAATCGAGATGTTTGTTGTTGTGGTGGTGGCATTGTTGGAGGTAGAAAAGAATTTGTAGCAGCTAAAGCAGCCCATTGAGCAGCATATGGTGAATAAGGTGGTAGCAATATTTGATAATAACCAAATTGTGGATGACCTGATAAAATATACGCTTGATTTGGTGCTGCAAGATTAGGTAATGCTGTCGGTGGATAAGCAGAAAGAAGACCAGCTGGTGGTGGAACATTAGCTGCTGGCATAACTGTTGTTGGATTGTTCATTGCTAATCGTTGTTGTTGTTGTTGTTGTTGCTGTTGTTGTTGTTGAAAAGCAGTTGCAGCTGCAGCAGCAGCTGACTAAAAAAAACAACAACAAAATTTCATTTTTGTTAACGTGAAACAAAAAAGCAAAATTCTTACAGCAGCTGTTGCAGCAAGTGTCGCTGATGAAGTAACATTTGAATCCGCATGTACATTGGGTGGTATATTAGATGGTATTGTTGTTATTGGTGCTGTTGCTGGCATAGTTGATGTATTGGAATTGTTTACAGGTTCATTTTCAATAGAATTAGTCACCGGTGGATTATTTAGAGTTGCAATATTTTCAGGCGGTTCATAATCATTTACTTTCCAACGACCACGTACAAAATTTCTATCAACACGAATCATTTGAAAACGTGATGGACATACGGATTCATCAGTAGTTGTAGTAGAGGATGATGCTACGGGTGGTGGAAGCGGCGGTTGTTGACCAACAATAGAAGTTGTTTCATCATGAGCATTAACTGGATTTGTTGGTAATTTATCAACATTAACAACATGAAATTTTCCAATTAATTGTTCATTATTTTGTGTCGAATGATTTACTGTTGATGGACCATTCATAATTCTTTTTTTTTTCTATTCTGTTGTATTCACTTCGCTTAATAAATAAGAACTAGATTTACTGATAATCGTATCATACCGGAGTTTTTTGCTGATTCTTTTTTGTCTACAAAAAAACAATATCCATTCAAAAAAAAAAAAAAAATTAATAAATATAGAAAATTAAATGCTTAAATTTATTATGAAAGAAAAAGAAACACACATATTATTATAGAACTAATCATTCTAAGAGTAGAATATTATTAAATTGTGTAGAAAATATTTGCTTGATTTTATCTAAATGAAAAGTTAATATGATTGTTAATGTAAAATAAGAAATAAACAAGAAAATATTTTACCACTTATTTCTTTTAAATTTGCATTTTTTTGGTTTATAATTACTAATAATTCACGCATATCGGATCGTTTAGCAATAATCCATGGATCATTTTCACGTTTAACCATTACTTCACCAGACGGATGAAACCTTAAAATATTCACGTTTGCAAATTACAAAAAATTGAATTTCTTTTCTCTTTATTTTTGATTGTTTAATTAGAATTTCGAGATTTTTTAATGATTTTTTTTGTTTCATATGATATGAAAAAATTCTGAAGAGTATTAAATAATTTATGTCTTATATTCTAAGTTAAAGATTGTGACTTATGATTAGAAAAACAAAGTTCCTATAGATGTATCATACCATTGTAAATCTTCAGCAAGTGTATTCATAATACCACAAATAGTATTATTTGGTTCTCGATTCCAATCCACAGTTGATGAATGTGCCATATTCATTTTATTAAAATAAACATTTCGCACATTAATATCAATTCTATAAATAAATAACTATAGATATATATTTTTTTTTTATAATTTTATTTTAATTTAAAATACATACGTAGGATTTTTTTTTCGTGAATTTTCTTCAAAACATGGTAAAATTTCTTCGAAATCTTTTTTTAATAATTCAATTTTTGATAAGGTTTTTTCATTGTTAGATAACTCTTCATCTTTAATAATAATAAATATATATATATATAAAGACATATACATACATATTTAATAAATTTTTACCATTTTGAAAAATACCAAAAATAGTAAATAAATTTAAATTCATCACAACTATTCGATGTGATGTAGCTGGATTTCCCAAAAAAAATTCTTGACTAATTAAATCTGTTGATATTGTCATTTCATCAGATGGATTTGCACTTGTATCGACTGTTAAATATCTATAAAAGATTATATATGGATCAATGCTTAAAAGAAAGAAAGATCACGCTTACACATATGACAAGTTAACCTTCTGATTTCTATGACGTACTTTTTATCATAGGACAACCAATAAAAAATAGGAAATAAAATCATTTTTCATTTTCTAATCTTTATATGATTGGAATTAATATCAATCTTGAAGTCCCAGGAGATTTTTTTTCTTTTTTAGAATTATAAATCACCTTGAAAAAAAAAAAAAAGTTTTTTTTTTTTTTTTTTTTCTTAATCGCTTTACTATTGAAATTTAAAACGATTAATATTGATATTATGATCCGAACTTCTCTAACGACCTTTTTTTTTTGTATTTACTAATATACATAAAGCGTAGAATGGATGTCCTTATTCGTTGTATTTAATAAATATTCTCGTAGAACACACGTTCTCTATATTAATTCCTACAACTCATATATTAAGAAATGTATCCTATCATATTTGTGTTACGTACAGATTTTCGAAAAAAAAAGTAAATTTATTCATCTATGGAAATTTTTATTGAAAGCAAAAGTCAAAAACTTATAGTCGATTATCAAGAAATTCCGAAATTTCCCTAAATATATTACATCAACATGTATTATTATTCATCTAATATACATCAAGAAATTTCTGCAATGATCAAAATTTTCTGGAAACAGGTATATTTTCGAAAGGTTCGTTTCAATTGCTTTAATGATAATTACATTAATTTTCTAACTTTCAAATTTGTATAGAAATCATTTCTGAAATTAGATATTTTATGAAGAAAATCTACTTTTATAGAAGTTTGAACACTACTATCATATTCGACAGTCAATTAATTGTTAATCATTAAAAAAATAGTGGATTTACGAGGTAACTTCTCCAAGTGACACTCCCTATTCGAACTTATATTGAATCTACAAGCAAGTCTTAGGAAGATTAGCAAAAACTTAAAAGAGTTCGTCTTCATGGACTTGGATCGCTGGGTTATATGATTAGTTTAGTAGATTTTTGTTGCTAAAATTTTTTTTCTTTAGATAGATGTAATAACTCTTAGAATATCCTGAAAGTTTCAATTGAAAAGAATGTTCCTTTGTCACAAATATCAAGATCACTTGAAAATTTAATACTTCGATGAAGAAACATTTTCTTCAAGTGAAATTTTCAAGATATTATAACAATCATCAGATCTATCTATGAACAAAAGTTTGAATCAAAATGTCATGGTATTCGGCTTTTTCAAAAAATATAAATCGAAAGTCCAGTAAACGAGTTATAACTCGACGCCGAACTCTTTTAGGCTTTTGCTATTCTAACTGAGACCTACCTGTGAATCGAACATAAGCTCAAACGATGGATATCACTTGAAATACTTTCAACACAAGCAATCAACTATCATGATGAAACTATTTTATGATCAATAGGATATCTAGATATATAACTGATTGTCATACATTCATTTTGTCTATGAATAGAAAAACTACTATCTGGATAATTAATATAACAATTGAAAAATTAGTTTTCATTGATTTTTATGTTTTTTTTTCGTAAGCTATTCTATGAGTATAATTCTTAGTTTGTTACTAATTTCCTTTGTTTCTTCTAATATTGAATCGATCTTTCGTCTTAATAATTCAAGTGATTTGCCCATATAAATTTATTGCTTAGATCATAATAAATGTATTATTTCATTTTTTTTCATGATTAAAAATATTAGAGGTCAATTGTATTTTCAATATGAGAGATATGTCTAGACTGAAAAATATCTTATTCTATATAATCATTTTGAAGAGCGAGTTTTATTATACTTTTCTTTACTAACGATAATTCTACAAGAATATTTTATTATATAAAATAAGTCAAGACCTTTGCTGCCTATGCTTTTTATATGTATTATGTTAACTGTATATATTTGTTTTTTTTTCGCATATACATTACAGAGAAAATATAATTTATAATATTGATATGTTCCTTTTTTACCTGATCGTAGATGTATTTGGTAATGTTTTAATTTGTGACCAATAATGAAGTCGAAAAAATGAATAGATTATACTAGTTTCATCTTGATTAAGACCACTCCTTAAATATATATATATTAAATATAGTTATTTAATAAAGAAATTTTTCTTTAATATACCATATAAGTTGAGTTCTATATAGAAACAATGTTTCTTTCAATGATGTAAAACGTAATTCAAATCGTCGTAAAATTGATTGAATTTTTATATAGAGTAGTTTGTCAACTGGAAAAAATTGTACACCAAAATATGAAGAATCAATTGTTATATCAGTTATCATTCTATGTAAATGATATTGAATAAACTAAATAAAATAAATTTATTTAAGAGTACAACAACAACAAAGCAAATTCTAGAATTTATCATGCAAAATAGATGAAGTTTCTATAAATTTTTAATATATCAGTTCGAAAAGTCATGATGAATAACTATTTTTTTTTCAGTTAAACGTTATTCTAAGGTTGTTTCACATCTATAAAACTTTATAAGATTGATATTAAAACTATTTAGCAAGTATCAATCGGTATTAATATTATATACAGAAAATTCTTTTTAGTATTATGATAGTCGATATTTTCTTTTTGTTTTATGTATGTAACCTTGATTTGTCTCATGGATGATTGAAATTTCTTAAATTAGTAATAGTCTTTTAAAAGTTTACTTGTCACAAACTTATCAACATATACAAACACAAGACACTAAGTGCATTGATAAATTTTGCAATTTACAAAATACTTCTAATTTTATTGTCGTAAAGTTTTATAGATAAAACAACATCATAAAAAAATGTAACATTGAATAAGAGCATTAGTCATGACTGTCGAATTGCTATAATTAAAAACAAAAACAACCTTAGGAAGTTAGTCTAATATGTGCCGTCAAAAAAAACATTAATGAAATAATTTTATATTTGCATTACGAATACAAAAAACAAAAACAACTAGATCATTCATTATGACCCATCTGTTATATATTTTAAACATAAAATTATTTATCATAAGGAAAATCTTCAAACATAACCGTAGATTAAATCTTCATAGGAAATTAATTTTGTATTTTATTCTTTTTCTTCTCTTCTATCAATATAGTACTCCAAACATAAACCTTTTTACCTTATTAAAATATTCTTCAAGTACATTTTTTAATACTTCTATATCATTATGTTGAACTAATGCTGACATTGTACCATGTTGTAACTTGATAAATTTACAAAAAAAAAAAAAATCAAAATATTTCATTGTTAGTTTTATATATTTTTTGTTTTTTGATTACTTACAATAAAATATCGATAAGACATTTTTAAAATTGATAACATAAGTCTATCATTAATATGTTCATCACAATATTCGATAAGTAATTTTTCATTTTTTTTTCGTTCAACATTTGGAACATGAAGTGTCTTAAATAAAATGCAACAATAAATATTGAATTTTGTTTATTTCTTTTTTACCATAGCAAGAGATATATCATTTTCAACTTTATAAAATAAAAGACGAGTCTTTTGTAAATGTACACATTCACATGGATCATCAAAAGAAAATGTTCTTGAAAAAATAAAGTTTTTTTATTTTTTTTTTTTATTTTATAATATTAAATATACTCGGTAAATTTAACTAAACCTTCACAATAACCAATTGTACGTATTTGACGATCGATATCTACATTTGATGGATAATAATAAAGAATTTTTCGATGTTCCTAAATAATTATTTATTATTAAAATAAAAGAAAATATATGATTTATTTTAAAATATCAAACCTGTCCTTCTT